AGATGAAAGTATTCCTGACCCCAGGTACACCCAGTTAAAAGAGAAAATTGGACAGTAAGAAGTATGGGTTGTAGAGGGTTTGAGAAATCAAATAAGGCGGCTATAGAGGGTCTTCAAAATAATTTTTAAATAATAAAATTATCTTCAGAACAACTTCTGAAGCAGGAGAAGAAATCCTATGGGCTCATGGGAGCAGAGACAGGGTACAGACAGTGTCAGAGTAGCGCCATGGCGGACTTCCCACCTGCAGATTTGGGAGTGCCACCCTGAGTAGGGGAAGAGAGACTGGCTGGCCTGTTCCCCTCACTCCATGAGGGAATTATACCTCACTTGAACCATTTCTTTTCAGTGCTATAAGATAGCGGACTCTCTGTTGTATGAAAACTGTTAGGATCTTCATCAAGAAAAAAAAAGTAAGAATTTGTTTGAAGCAAATAATGTCTAGCAGTTAAGTGCAATACAGCCTGATGGCCTTGCTCTCCTCTGAGTGTGGAAGGAGGTAAATCCAGGAAGGGATCGATAGAGTAGGATGAAACTAAAGGGCCAAGAATCCAGTGCTCTCTTTCGGGTTGAAAAGCGAAGTTGCAATGGGAAGAAACGTGTGAGAGAGAAGTATGGATGAGCAGTTGTTGGCTTAGCATAGACCATGAGAGTTTTGCGTGTCAGTGGGGGATCCTGTTGTCACAGGAGACGTAAAGGTGTAAGATGCAGCCTATGACCTACTCTGTACAAAACTATGAGAGGAGTTTGATGGCGAAAGGTGGGAATCAAAGTCATTCGTACCAGAGAGACCAAGAAGTGTGAAGCTGGAGTCCAGGATGCATCGTCCACACTGACCCAGGGGCTAGAGTACGGACTTCATTCAAGCCAGGTGCTAATGTGCGTGAGTGAGGAGAGGAGAGCCCAAGAGGCTGACGATGCCAGCAACAAAGAGGTTTACCACAACAAAGACCCTCAAAGGCATCCGGTTTTACTCATGAAAGAGAGAGTAGATATCTGGGCATAAAATTGGTGAGCCAGGAGAATGCTGGTGCTAGCTGCTACTTTGATGATGGTTGGAGGATGGGAATTGGTGTTCTCAAAGTATGGCTTAGTTTTAGTAAAAGAAGATATGTGCTCTTTAGACTTTCAGAAAGTCAAACACTTTATAGAGTTTTTGTTCCTAGTGGAAAGAGAGCTCCACAGGCCATGTGGGAGACATTGAGAGAAAATGAAGCAAAAGGATGAGTTGGGGGAAGGTTTCTCATACCGTTATTACTAATTCATTAGTTGAAAAGATATTTATCGAGTGACTTCTATGTGCCAGGCACTGTTTTAGGAACCATGGACACAGCAGGCAACAATACTAAAGACAAACCTTGGCATCAAGAACCTTAGATTCTTGGGGACTATTGACATAGAATTTTGGAGGAAATAGGCAGTTTACAGACCTCTCCTTTTCACTTGTCCTACATTGCTATAACTATATGAATGTCAGCCAAAAACAAAACAAAAAGAAAAAAAAAGAAAAAAAATATTCGTAGGGGAAAAAGCTCTCTAGGATAGCAGAAATATGGAAACTGGGTATTTGTGAAAGTGAAGATAACCAGCCACCAAGCTAAAAGGTAAAATTTAAGAGAGTGAATTAGATGAAAAAGGGAAAATTTTAAAAGGCTGAGATGTCAAATGAATATTGTTAGGGTGGAGAGCTTAGTAGGTGTTTATGGTGTGGGTGGAGAAAGATTTCTCTTGCAGAAATTAATATATAAAAGTAAAAACGTTTATTTTATCCTTTAGAAGGGTAGAAAGAGAGAGAAGGGGGAGAGAACAGGGAGACAGTGTGTCATCTCAAAGAAAGAGAAGGGGATGCCAGCAGCAAGGACAAGTGGCTCGCTGATTTTAAGGGGGACAAAGAGAAAAAAAATAGTGATGGCTGTCAGTTGATAACAAAAGCGGCAACAGGTAGATAATAAAAACTGCAAGGATGTCACAGTCCAAGAGTTGGCTTCCTGCCTTTCCTTGGAGAAGGGATCATCACAGGAGATATGACTCTGCTCTTATGGTTGAGGCTCTAGTTCATTCTCCTGCTGTTTATAATTTTGAAAGGGAGAGAGAGATTTATATCTCTTTTCTATCCGTGCAGCTCTTTTCAGAAGTTGTGCAAAACAGAACTCCTGCAGAGACCTGTTAGTGAAGAACTCACAAGATCATCTTCAACTGTCACTGGGGAAATTGTGGGATTAGGTATTTTCCTGTTATTTTTGCAAGGCCATCCCTTTCAAATATACCTTGTGAGATTTACTCAGACTAAATGTTGCAAATATGCAGAGATACATAGACACACACATGTTTACATTTAGAAAAATTATAAATGTTTTTGGATATGTGTATGGGTAATACTTTAAAATGGTAATTTTTCCCAGCCCATAATGGATATTTTATGTGATCTAGACACAGTTTTATAGACAAGTCCTCCACTTAGTCTACCTGAACCAAATAAAGAGAGCTTTTAAATCTGTGAATTAACATCATCAACCCTTGTGAAATAGAACATCATGTCTTTCCTGAAGATGTTCTCATTATCCCATCTATAATAAATTAAGCTTCATGTTGCCATGCACTGTTAAGGATTCTCCAGTCCCACTAACATTTTTGTGTACCATTCTTCTTTGGTAATTAAAATAATACCTTAAGCATTTTGACATTAACTAGAAATTGATTAGATAATAAGCAACATTTTAAAAAATTAGTATCTCCCTGCTATTGCATAGAGAGTGGACCTGTGAAAAGTAATGCAATAGATGTTTTGTTTCAAATCCTTGGCACTTGATTCTGTAATTTTTCAGAATTATTTCGGTAAAAAAATAAAAGCAGAAAATATACATTTTAAAATATATCATTGAACTTAAAATAGTCCCAAAAGTCTTATATATAAAGACCAAGGAAAAAAATAATTGTGTTAATGCCATATTTACTAATCCAATGGTAAATTGAAAATCATGAGATTATCATTCCCTTTAAATTAAAAGTAGATTAAATTTCTTGACTCAAATAAAAGCTCCAAAATTTAATGTTATATGTGTGAACTAAAATAAAATCTTAACCCCCCCTCTCGCCTACTTAATGAGGGGACCCCAGAAAAACCTTAAAGCTGAGTTATTGGCCATGAGGAAAAGAGCGATCAGACATGCCTAGTTGTGCCCTGTCCTTTTTGAGTTATCCTTTGTCACAATATGATACTAAATCATTAATAGGCTGAAGGCCATGCAAGACTAATATTAAGACCACACCACACCTTCGGGCCATCAATTTACTTAAAAGATCACTTGAGTTTTGGTAAATATCCAGTGGCTTGTCTCTGATTAACAGACATCCTTAACTTAAAATATCCTAAACCTTTAGGCAAGCTTCATTTCTTTAGCCACTTACAAATCAAAGTATCTTTAAACCCACCTATAATCTGTAAGCACCCACCCCTCTTGCTTCCAGATGTCTTGCTTTTCTCGGGGCCAAACCAATGTCAGCCTTCCATGTGTTGATTTATTATTTCACGTGTAATTCTTGTCTCCCTAAAATGTGTAAAATCAGTTCGTAACCCAACTGTGCAGGGACCACTTGCTCAAGGCTTCTTGGCCATGGCCACACACCTTCAGCTCAGCATAAACCTCTTTAAACTACTTTGCAGAATTTGGGTTCTTTTTTGTTTATCATGTATCTAGTTTTGCATAACTTTTATGAAATATTTCGGTATAAATGTTAGCCTTCTTTAATATAGTACCTGTTCTTAAAAACAATATTAAAAACATTTTATATCATGATTATCCCTGGTTATATAAACTTATTGGCAAAATATTTTGATCATTATGTACCGCACCAGAGGGCTTAATTCAATCCCCAACTGCAAATATTTGGCACTAATTATGAGTGAATATCCAACTTATCTAATCAACAACAACAAGATTTTTCATACGATAGAGAGGGCAGTGTGAATGTGATTATAGAAGTCTCAATATGTTTTTTACTTAAAAACTACATAATATACATCCTTTACAGCAGTAGTTGTGTAGTCACATTGAATTTAAAAAGAAATTTCTTCATGAAGACACAGTACAATCAGGCATTAAGAACTTTAAAGATATAAGATAATTGTTAAACAACTGACATAACATCACACACGTGGGATAGAACAATAATAGAAATACATTTCATGAAAAACTTAAAAGACATTTTAACTCCAAAGATTATAAGGAAAATTTAAGAGAATAAAAATACGTGGCAAGTGGAGGGGGAATTGCCCCCTCTTTAGTAGCAGTAGTTGTGTAGAAAACAATTCCCTTTGAACTTTGGGAAATAATAGTGTTGTTCATGCTTTTGCACTTTATTTTTTGTGGTACATAAAGTAATAGAATAGACTTAAATTAACAATATTTTCTTTGTTTATATAGTGTCTCTAAAAAATCTATTATTTTGCTTCATGCAATTTGGAAACTAATTGAATAGAACTTATTAGAATTTGCTCGTTTTTTTTTTTTTGACTTGTGACTTGTAGGAAGTAGAAAAGTCATCTCTTGTAAAATTTACTGATATTGAAAAGCTTTCTAAATTGTAATGACTAGCCAGATTTTTTGAAATGCAATTAATTACTATTATGATTTACATCAGGTACATTTTATTATTATACTAGTATTAAAATAATCATAGCCCTCCTCACAATTTGGGTCCATAAACAGAGTTGGGGTTTTGCCATTCTGGTATTTCAAGTTTAAGTATATCCAGACCACATTTTATAAACATGTTTACTTTAATCTTCATTAAAACAATGTACACTGGGAGTGAAATTCAATATCATTGTGCCTGCCATTGCAATTAACTCATCAATAATTTGTAACAGGTAGTTAATATCCAATAAACTCTGCACACTTTAGAAAATTTAGAAATAGCTTTTCTAACAAACAGAGCAATCTTTTGCCAAGAATGAATGAATTCACTATCAAGGTTTTTGTGGTTTTGTAGAAATTCAGAAATAATAAAGTTCAAATGAATTCAATGTTAGAATTAAGTCATTCCTGTTGATAACAAAATTTCAATGACACTGACATTTTACATTAAGTCTTTGAAATACAGTGACAAAAGATAGAGAGATACATACTCAATGTACAGCATAAAACCGTCCCAAAACATTCCTTTCATAAGACATTTTCTCATTTATGTCATTAGCACATAATGAGGTAAGTAGTTGGCTCTATTTCATATGATTGGCAGGGTTTGGGAACACCTACTTTTTTTTTACCATTCATCCTATTAAGGTAACCATACAAAATTCAGACGTCTTAGGATTCTTGGAGCCATAAGTCAAGTGCTATGTATGTAGTCTATTATTCCATTCCCAGAGTTTCCTATAAGTACTGGTATTATTTTATTATTTTTCCTTCCAGGCAATGATCATTCTTAGAAACTGCTTCCACAAAATTTAAATTTTAATAAGTATAAATAAAATAGGGGATTTGAAAGTTTTGCTTAAAAACTCAAGTCATCCAGGTGGACGTAAAGTACACCAGTGCCTCAAAACCAGTCTACTTTCACACTGCACGTGTAACACAGTAGCAGTTGTTTTGCAGACCATTAAGTCTTTGAGCGAGATGACAGTGGTGAGATTCAACACTGATACTCAGCTTCTTCTTTCAGACCTCCAACCAGGTTGACGGGAGTGACGGCCGTGGGCCCTGCTGCAGATACCTGTGCAGTAAAAGACTTTATTTCACACAGGCTATTAAACTGATGTCAGGTGGGATCGTTTAAAGCAGTGGCTCTCAACAATTAGGATGCTTCAGAATCACCTGTAGGGCTTGTTAACACAGAGCTTCCTGACTACCACCCCCCGAAATTTCTGGCTAGTTAACTTTGGGATAGGGTGGAAATTTGCACGTCTGGTAAGCTCCCAGGTGATGCTGATGCTGATGGGTTCGGAAGTACACTTTGAGAATCACTGATTTAGAGCAAAGGGATTCTGACTTCTGATTGATCTGTCACAACTGTTGCCTCTCTGAGACAGTCTCACTCATTCCTTCCCCCTTTCCCTCCCAGTCTCTCTCTCTCTCTCTCTCTCTTCCCTCCCTTCCCTCCCTTCCCACCCCCCTCAAATGATAAGAACTAGGTATATTAGGATCTAAAGAATTTACTCTTACTCTGAGCTAATACTTGACTATTAAGGCATATGTCAGTGTTATTTGAAGTTATCCTCAAACTATTTAAAGTGCTTTCATCACAATCTGAAAATTACAACTCTCCTTTCATGCAGCATAAACAACAAGTTCTCAAATGTACACAAGGGGAGAAAGGAGAGAGTTAAAATACTTTGCTTCCATCAGTATAGTGCTGATATTTAACAATATAATCTCAATAAACCTTATATAACAGGGTAGTTTTTGCTTTGCGTAGTAAAAGGCACAAGGTAACAAAATTCCAAATACTAAGATTTGAAAAAAATTCTTGATAATTATTATTGATAATTGATAATTATTATCAAATTCTTGATAATTATTATTCTCTGAGATTAATGAGTTGGAAAATATATATTAATTATCTTCTATGAAGATCTTTCTTAAATACCATGCTCCGTATCTCTTTTCAATACAATCAGAACACGTGCTGCTATAATATGAGATGAAAAAGATCTTTTCATGAATACCTCTTTTACTTTTAAATTTTAAGGTAAATATTTGAAGCAGAAGAATTTTGCAGAGCAACAAATTTAAAATATTCAAGGCTTTGACTCCCCGATCTTACATTTGTGCAAAATATAGGACAGTCTTATTCATTTGTGAGTTTAAGAGTAAGCCTCTCTAACTCTTCTAACCACCTGGTACTTAGCCCTAGACCCAGGTGAAATTTGCTGACATTGACCATTGCTGAAATGAAATGGGAAAAAAGTAAAGTGCAATCATACAACCAAGGTTCTTCTAGTGAGGACCACTGTTCTCGGTGGCTTCACTGCTCCGCCATGCCCGGGAATTGTCCCCCCAAGTTGTGCACTGCCTTGCCCTCTGTGAACATGTCCCCCTCACTAGACTACAGCTCCTTTGAAGGCATGTTTGCATTCACCCCTACCTCATTCCCTAGCACCTAGCACAGTGGTGCATTTCTAATTTAATCCAGCAAGGCTGACTACATCATATTTATTGGTCAGGAGAATAGTAATAGTGATTTTATCTTATTCTTAAATGTTTAAGTCTTTCCTTAGAGATGGAAATTATTATGCATTAGTAGTTACTCAAAATCTTTTTTAATTCAAAATATTACTGGCCATAGGAGACAAGAAATGTTAGCAATGGTCAATTTACTAAACCTGAGAAAATTATGTAAATGAGTGATAAAATTAATGGGAAAATAAAAGTTTGATAGAATATATTTTATGTAGTTTTGAATGATGGTTTTTGAATTACCTAATATAATATGCTATTTTTTATGTAAATATTTTCTCAGATGTCACATTGTAACTATAGTCTCTTGTGATTTTTTTTTTAAAAACTATAAAATCAACTAACATATGTCTGTTGTCAATCAAGTTAGTAATTGCTACTTCATTTAGTAGCCAAAAGAAAATCAATGGATAACTTTTGGTGATTTTTAGGAATTTGAATGTGAGAGATTAAAATAACAAAGGATTATAAGAAGAATTAGAAATGTTCAAACATTTAATCAACACAAATTATAATACAAGAAACTAAAAGTGAAATAGTCTCAAATAAGTTCAGTTGAAGGTTAAACTTCTAACACATTTAAATCAAAAGTTGAGAGATTATTTTAAACTGACTTTTTTTTTTTATTTCCAAAGAGCAATAGATTAAAAAAAAAGGGGATCCACAAGCAGTTTTAGCTTCAGATCATTAGGGTAATAAAATTTGTTTCCAGTGATTTTTAAAAAGAATAGTTTTACTCAGGCATCCTTGTCATATGAATAAATATTCTACCAGTTTTGAAGTGGTCCTGCTCCATTGGCTGCTGGGAGTGTGCTTATGCTGGTGAGCACGACCTGCTCTGAAAGTTTTGATATGTTATCAAAATTGCTGATCTGGGTGGTAAGGGACTTCCGGCTCTCTGTGCTGGTTCGTCCCCTGGTAAGTCGATCCTCTTGGCGATGGTGAACTCCAAGGCAACAGCAAGAAAATGCAGCTTTAAATTCCTCTCGAAATTTTCCTGGCAAACCAGGGAGAATGAAAGGAAAAGGAATTATACATACCCGTTTCAACAAATCACGAATAGGGTAACAACTGAGTTGCTCCCCTGAGCCAAACTAATGATGAGGTGTAATATTTTGCAAAGATGGGGAAAATAGTAAAAGGAAATTAAGTTTATTGGAAGCTTGGTAGACTCTTGAAACAATGATGTATTTCCATCAAATAACAGGAACACTCCTCATGGGTGATGCTTGGAGTTTGTTTCATTCCTTTATAGTCATGTGTTTGTGAATGTAGGTATATTTTAACCATACAACTATAACAGAAGTGGTCGTCAATAGAAGGATGCCCAAAGATACTTATTTCAAAAACAATGAAACAGATATCATACATAACCAAAATTATATAGATATTACCTGAGAAACTACTACTTACACATTTAATTCCACAAGATGTCTAAAAAAATGTATTAAAATATCTAGAAATGTTTCCATTTTATAATCTACACAAGGCAGAACAAAAAACTGAAAGGGGAAAAGAAAACTTGAGAATGTGTTCCTCATCTTTAAATTATTGATGGAAAAGTAGACAACTATGAAAATAAAACAATCAATCACCTTTATTAGAGTGAATGACAGTGTTGGGAATCATCATTTCTCCCTCTGAGCCTCAATCAATGAATAAACTAGTTATTAAGTAGTTAAATGAGATGGATATTCAAAGGCCTAGCACAATAGATGGTATATAACAAGTTCTCAGAGACTATCAGTTGCCTCCCAAGTCAATCTTAACCTCCATACCAAGATTTTCACTTGTTTCTGTGGCTTTTGCTTAAAATAATTCTTATCACAACCTGCTTGTAAGTTTTACCTGCTTAGTGCAAGACTCAGAGCTTTGGTTTTGTTGTTGTGTAATCATTATTTTAAGACAAAGTTATTTTTTAAAAAATCTAGTTGTCTTTTGAACCTATGCAACCAGAAGGCCAAAGATAAAGTTGGAAGATTTACATAATTTATTAAGTGTGCAATAAAATAAATCAGTATTCTTCCATATAAAATTACCATATAGTTGAAGATAGAGAAAAGAAAGGAATAGTTAAGGAGTTGGGGAAGAAGACAATGTAAAGATGTAGCTAATTAAAACATAATTCTGAAAGTCAGGCAAAATGTAAATAAAATGATAGTTATTTAATTGATTTTTATAGTTATATGACTCCGTAAACAGAGATAGACATGTGTATGCGTGTCATTTAGGTTATGTGTGATTTAGGAGTAATAATATTTTGGGTGGTCAGTGAGAAATCTTGAGATAAATCCAAGAGATGACATTCCCAAGAGGAATGTCAACACAGCAAAATATCTAAAAGTGAATAGTTTCCACTTCAATCTCGATTAGGCTATACATTTTGGCAAAGGAATAATACGGCAAGGCAAAACAGATAAAAGTATTTTATATTTTTGTAAATCATAAGTTTGAAGTATGTCACATAAGATTCTGTGTTATTGATTTCTCATAATTTTTACTTTTCTCCTATTTCAACATTTCTTATAAGTTTTATGGGGAAAAAACCACTTAGATAATTTTTTTCTGATGAGTTAAGCATTTTCTCTCATAAGGGAAGAAACTCAAGACCAGTCAGGTCAGGGGAAAAGATCTTGAGTAGGAACTAAACACTTCTTATAGTTCAAGGGTGTTTGAAACCTTCTGGTCATTGATCCCTTGCCCTTGGGTAGGACAGGGGTTTATAGAAGAAACAGTTGAAACTCACCACTGAGAAAATTATAAATAATTGGGTTCGCAGCACTGTTGGCATATACAAGCCAGTGTGAAAATGTAAACCAGGCATACACAGTCTCTCTGTCTTCAGTGTGGGTAAACATCCCAAATACTCTGTAGCAAAAGAATAACAGAAAATCCAGTGTGATTCTGGAAAGTACCTTTTAAATAATTAAATTCAAAGGTGAACAAGGCTCTTGATAGAGGCTGTCTGACCCCTGTTGTCCTCTGCTGCAGGCATTGACCACTTACAGGTTTCTGACACCACAATTGGTCTAACACAACTTCAGTACCCGAACAGAACCTCCACAGCACAATTAATAAATCAAAAGCCAAATCAGGCAAGAGAAGGAAATCTCCCTTCTGCAAACAGGAAGTACAATATTTCTTGTGAATAGGAATGCAGAAGTTGAATACCTATTTCCCTTATTTCATTTTGTTTCTAAATACAATTCAGCAATGTTGTGTTGATATTCCATTATTCATATAATGTAAAAAGCATTCCTAAATTCAGCCTGTAAATATCTCTTCCTACTTTCATGTATACATTAATCAAAGTACTATATGTCTTCAACTCCAATCTTCCTGGCCTTTTTGAAATTTGACCCCTGGGACCTCTTTAATACTCAAAGAAGAACTAGTTTTAAATAGGCAGGATTCTGGTAATGTCTTAAAATTCATGAATTTTAATTTCTCATGTATTATTTTAAACTCTGAAAATTATTTTATTATTATATCCTTAAAGACCATTTTAAGATTTGCTCCATACTTAGAAATTCTATTCACTAACCTACAGCAGATAACTTGCAGCTATTCAGTAAGGTCAAAGATGATAATGTACTAATATTTCCTGTTGGGCTTCATCAATGATTGTATAACTTGTGCCATATCTGTATTTTTTTGAATAAGAAAGCATATGATAGACATGCATTTCTGGAATACAATGATGCTCTACAGAGTACTAGAGTTTTATAAAAATATAGTGAAATAGTATAGACAAATGGGATTCATAATATATTATGATCCTGTACCTCAAAATCTCTTTGAAATCTTAGAGAAGCCAGAACTGGTTCAAAGAAGTTGGTTTTGACTAATCAGGCAAAAAGTTAAGTTTCAAGGAAAAGAAACCGGGAATTTTCATTTTTCTGAGAGAAAGAAAAAAGATTAATACCCAAGGGCAAACAAAAAGATAAATATTTGATGAAACTATGTGAGGTAATGAGAAAAACAATTTCCAAATTTGTTTTTAAAAGTTTTAATTTTGTGGAAAAGAGCAGACTGTTCAAAAAATTGAAAATAATTTAAATGTAACATGGACTTTCTACCTTGCAAACTGTTTTCTTTGGAAAGGAAAATATTTAAGTCAGAAGAATAGGAGAAAATATTATTGACAAGTAGGTATTTGGAAATAATTTTTTAAAAGGAGCAAATGCTGAGAAACAGAAAATCCAGATGAGCAACCCAGAGAGTGGTAAATCCAATTTTCTCTGAAGTTTGATTGACTAAAAGAGTACAAAGAAACAGAGAGAGAAAGAGAAAGAGAAGAAAACCTATCCAGGAACATAACATGTTTATGAGGTTCTTAAGAGCAGGAAACACCATCTAGCAAAAGCAGAATAAATTTGAATACAGTTTTTGTGAGCAAGAAAAATAAGAAGGGAAGCATGAAAAGATATGGAATGCAAAATAATTTTTATTTACTTTTGAGCCATCATATGTCTCAAGGACCTAGGCCACCAAAGTTCTTATATCTTTAATGCTTTGTCTGCCATAAATAATGCTACTGAACAAAAGTTCATTTTCCATTTCTTCTCCATTGAAAAGCTATTGAGCAGTCAAAAACAAAAGCTGAAGAGAAAGAGAAAGCTTTGCAGCTGGGTATACCACCTTTAGTCTGACTGCAGCCAAAGCTGCCGCTCTCTAGACTTGCCAAATATGAGTAATACGATATTGACTCTGCATTAAGGAAAAAGTAAGAGGAGCAATCCTAGTTTAAGTTTGAAGCCTATTATAAACAGAATTAGTATTGCCTTGGGACCAGTCTATGTGCAATAGTTCTAATAAAGTTCGCTGGCCATGAAGTTAAGTGTATACCATTGCCTCTGCATCTGCTGTTCATGTCATTGGTCAATTGCTAGAACTTAATAGTTGTGTCTGCAGCGTAACAAATAACATGCTTTCTCTCAGTGAAAAATTTTGTGCTGATTTTTATTGATAGTTGCCCTGAGCTGGATTCAGTGACTTCAGGAAATGGATTTTCTTTACATTTAAACATTCAACACAGTATCTGCTTGATTACTATTTTTTTTTATCATTTTTTAGTGCTCACAAATGTACTTTTAAGTATAATTAGAATGCAAAGAAAACATTCTTATCTCTTTTTATCCTTTTGCTAGAATTCTGTCAAGATTGCCTATGTCTTTGAAAACAAAGTTTTGGAAAACCCATTTGTTCTCATCCTCCAAAAAACTGCAAGCCGTAAATTAGTTGTTTTGTGTTAGAACTTTTTCTGCATCTAAGGGCTTTAGCAATTAGCTTGAAGAGGTTGGAGAAACATCTGCTTTATGTCTGTCATTCAACAGAGAATCTGCACGGACACAAGCATATGTCTGGGCTCTCTGAAAGGCTGCCCACCTTACCTGCTGATTACAACACAACTGAGTCTTCTGGCCTGACAAGGTATCTATCTAGGCAGAAAGTTTAGATTTTTTTTTTCCTCCGGGCTAAAAATAAAAAAAAAGTTTTTAATTAAGAACCAAGACATGAGAAGCCACTTCATTTTCAAATAATAGATATACTTTACCTCTTTAGCACATTGAGGATGCTAATTGGTAGATAGCAAATTGCAAACACCAAAAGCACAACCATCAACATCCGGGCTGTTTTCCTTCTGGCTCGGATCTGCTTTATTTCAGCGGCCACAGCGCTTATCCTAGACTTGGTCTGTTGACCTGGCCCTCGAGGCTGCGAAACGGGCTGCAGGGGCTTCCATTTTCTCTGAACTACGGATGATGTTCCAGGGATCTGAAAAGAGAAGAGAATCCTTATTGCTATCTGACTTAGCAAATTTCTACTTTGGAGATTTAATTAGAAGACAGTCAGGAAAGTGTCCCAGATGCTCGAGGTCTGGGAGATTTGAGCGCCTGTTTCTCCAGAACCTTTATTGAGCTGAGTATGTTCTTGGCATTCACTCAGTGGAATGCAAAATAAGAGTTTGGGTGGAAAAAAAAGTTGAAACATCACAATTTTGTCAAGTCTAAAGAGAGCTCTACATGGAAAAGATATTTCCTTGTAAAAAGGGGGAAAAAAACCTGTGGAAGGAAAATGGTAAAGGGATGGCAACTATATCATCTTAGTAGGAATTCTTTACCTAAGTTTAAAAACAAGGAAAATCTGCAGGTAAAGTAACATGAATGGATTTTTCATGCATCAATACTGCCATCTGCTGCCGGGCAGAGAATAGGACGTAACTACCTTTCTATTAGGTTTTCTGCTTCTAAAGTTTGGACAAAGCAAACCTTTGAATGAAAGAAATAAGAAAACAAGTCAAATGTTCTCTGTTGTTCATTGTCTATAGTTATGAAATTGTTTGAAACCAATTTTGTGGTGCGGCTCTTTAAAATGCACAGAAAAACAGTGAGAATTCCTTGTGGTCTCCATTAACATTTCAAATAGCTGGAATTTGTAACAACAGTTACACAACTTGTACTTTTCCATTTCTTTTCAAATGTATTTTATAATAGCAGGGAGTCTCTCCAAGTATAATATTTTCTTAATTAGAAGCTCATGAAGATTGATAAGGTTTAGTGAGCAAAACAATAAAATTCAGCATGCGCGATTTTTTTTTTTTATGAGGAAAATATGCCAACAAGCACAATATAAGGCCATCTTAGTTCTATTAAGATTGCCCAGCTGTTGCTTTTATCTCTGTGCTGCAAGCCAGGAGAGACCAATGTGTCCCTATGCTCTCTGAGTGGATGTTGGATGGATTCTGTTGCTTTTTACATCAAAAGATAAAAGTCTGTTAACTTGAGAACTGAATTTTATTTTGATGTCCACACAAATGAATTAACATGATGCTCCCTTTGACCATCTTCTCTCTTGAAAAAGAGGCAAATGATGTTAATGCAAAACCTCCCTTAAGAAGAAAACGTCTGATAAATTATTTCTCTCCTAACTCTTTATGTCCTGTAGAGTAGACTACCCTTTTCACATAGCGGTAGTTCAACTCAGTCTTTTAATCTATCCGTTGAGGGAATAGGAGCTGGAAATCTTCTCTCCTGTTTGACTCTCTTTTTAAATAGCAATTAAAAAAAATAACTGATAAGAGCCAGCAATGGATGCTGGAAAGTTCCAAAAGATGTCTAGCATGAAAACCCTGTGAGTGTCTGCTAGGTGATTTTGAGCTGTTTTCTAAATGATCTCTCAAACATCATTTAAACTTTAGTGATTCCACCATTGAGTGTTCCCCTCAAGGAGAGAACCAATATTCTGCATCTGATGATTTCAGCAATCATCAGAAACAGTTCCCATAAAGAGAAACTGCCATGGGGAACAGAGTTATGGTCCTTGCAATCAGGGAAAAAATATATAGCGCAATGCCCTTTTTAGATGATGACCTAAATAAGGACAAAAGATGCTTAATTCTGTACTTACTTTAAGGAGACATGAATTTCTCCACTGATGATAAGCTGTCCAGAGAAACGGAGTGTCTAGAGGAGCTCAACATAAACTTAATAGGAATATGCATTAATATAATCTTGAGTAATCCCTAATACATCCCTAAAAGCAGATTGTACATCCCATTTTGCAGATTTTGATCAAGCAGACACTGAGAAGAACTAAATAAAATATCCAAGTCCATATCTTTATAATAAATCTCAAGACAGAATTTGCACTCAAGTTTATCTGACTACAAAGTTCATCTTTATACATTAAGGTGCAATGTTTCCATTTATAAACTTAAACACAATAATAGTAAATCCTTGAATACTTGCCTAGTTACATAAAAGCATTAATAATCATACAAGAGGACTTTGAAAGATCCAGCCTGGGAGGCTGTCATTGTGGGAAGGTCTTTCTTCTGCCATATCAGTGAGGGTCAATGATCTCTGACTGTGGAAAGTGCACACACACACACACACACACACACCCCTATACACATACTAGTTTTATTCCACTATTATAAATAAGCTTTAAACATCCTTGTCTATACAAAAGTACATCCTGAAAGAGGTATTACCACAGTTATGAACTGGAGATATCATGTACATGATGGACCTTAAAACCCACCCTATCTTAAGTATTTTTTGACCAGGATGAGGTTATAAGGAAAGAGCAAACATGCTACAGACATTAAAAAGGGAAGAAGAGAATATTATAAACAATCAACAAATTTACCAAGTTACATGAAATGCACAAATACATTAGAAATCAAAGATTACCAAAACTGACACTGTACTTACAAATTTTGGTATAAAATATCTCCAGGCCTATCTATAATATATAAGTTTATTAATAAATTCTATCAAACATAAAAGAATAAATAATACCAATCATGTTCAGACTCTTCATGAAATTTATAGAAAAGATAATATTTTCTAACCAATTTTGTGAGGTCACAGTTACCTTGATAATCAAAGATATGACAACAAAAGAAAGCCAACAACTCTCCCCTTTTTTTATGAACAAAGATAAAAAGCTCCTTAAAAATATGTTATTAAAGTCAGTGATATACAAATAAGATAATACAGTTTGCTCAATTAGATTTATTCTAGCAATGCAGTGTTGGCTTAACATTCAAAAAACAATTGATATAATTTATGATATTAACAATATAAAAGAAAAATGATCATTTCAACAGGTAAAGAAAAAAACAGTGTAAAAATTCAACACCCATTTATGACAAAAATTCTTAGCTATGTAGTAGTAATAGAAGGAAAAACTTTCTCAACCTGATAAAGGGCATCTATAAGAAGCATTCAGAGACCATCCTACTAAATGATAAAAGATTAGGAACAAAGTAATGAATTCTCTCACTGCTTCTACTCAACATTGTACTGGAGTTTATAGCCAGTAGGAGATGACAAGAAAAATTAATAAAATGCATACAGATTTATTTTATTGAGAAGAAATTAGTTATTGCTTACAAAAAAATACCCTAAAGAATCTACAAAAACCTAAGTGAACTATAAATGACCTTAGCAAAATGCAGGACACTAAATTAATAAACAAAAATCAATTACATTTCTATATACTGGCAATAAACAAATAGAAAATTAAAGCTTCAATAACAAAATAGTGTATTTTTAGGCAAGCATTTAATAAAATGTGAACAAAATACATATGCAGAAAGCTATGAAACATTGCTGAGAGATATTATAGAAGACCTAAATAAATGAAGAGATTCGCCATGCTCGTGGATTAGAAGATTTAATATGAAAATTCTCCCAAAATTGATCTATAGATTCAATGAAATCAATCCCATTTAAAATCATAGCAGTCTTTTTTGAAGAAATTGAAGCATTTATTTTAAATTTTTTATGAAAATTCAAAGGACCTGGACTAGCTAAAACAATTCTTAAAAAGAGCAAAGTTGCAGGACTTTTATTGTCTGATTTCAAGACTTAAAGGTAAAGTGTGTTTATGTGTATTGTGATTGTGCGCATCTCTGAGTGCTGGTCTGATGTATGCATTTGCAATTTATCTATTAAGAAAGTGTTTGAGAAAGAGACTACCTACAAACAGGTATGGAGTTGTGAAGAGACCTAGCAAAGCATCATTTAATAGGAGCACAACTTTTTAAAGAAGAGAGAAGCAGAAATATGTATAAGACAGCCATGGGAAGGAAGCATATGAACAATGAAACCATGAACATTACTTAATGTTGCCAAAAGATCGATCAAGAAAACTTTAGGAAAATATTCTTTAGAAATCACTGGTGACTCTAGGCGAGGCATAGTAGCTCACAACTGTAATCCCATAACTCAAGGAGACTGAGATGGAAGGATTGCTTGAGGCCAGGAGTTCGAGACCAGCCTGGGCAACATAGTGAGACCTCCATCTCTACAAAAATTAAAAAATTAGCAGGGCATGGTGGTGCATGACTATAGTCCCAGCTACTAGGGAGTTTGAAGCAAGAGGATTGCTTGAGTGTAGGAATTTGAGGTTGCAATGAGTTATGCTTGCACCACTGCACTGGAGCCTGTCCAACAAAGAAAGATCCTGTCTATTAAAAAAAAAAAAAAAAAAAAAAAGGAAGAAGAAGAAGAAAAGAAAAATCACTGGTGACTTTAGTGAAAGCTGTTCCGTTATGGTGATGAAACCTGAAGGCAGATGAAGTAGGCTGAGAAATCATTGGAAGTGGGAGGGTCAGAAAAAGGAGACAAGTAGAAATAAATCAAAATTTTATCTGGAAGTGGGAGGAGCAAAGAATTAAATTGGAAGTTTGGTACCTAGAAAGATCTGAGAATTTGGATGATACTTTTTATCAGCATTTAACAAATATCTGCTCTAAAAGGGAAAGTCTGGTTTACCCTAACCTTATTCCTTGACTCATCACCAATTTTATTATAATAAAGTGCAACAGACTTGGTAGACTTGGACTGTCTTATATGAGACAATAACCTAGTTATGTTTTGCTATTTGAAACAACAGGGAATAGGGGACTTTTTCTTGTCCCTCACCCCAACACATTTGAGGATGATTGTGTTCCAACATCCAGTGACTTTTTCCCATTCAACTCTACAATTTCTTGACACATTTTTTTTCACCTTGGCATTGCTCTGTTATAATTAAGATTTGCATGCTAAATTCTTATGATGAGGATTGTAATTTTCATTTTCCCTTCTCTTAACTTCATTCTCACAATAAATAGCTCCACTTTCAGAGTCTACAGCTAGCTCTTATGGACTAAAACCACAATACCTTATCTTCTCACCCAACACTCACAACCTATGCTTCCTGTCCATTGTCCAGCTCTAGATCTGTTGTCTTGTAACATTATTCCATCACACACTCTATCA